GTCTCTAAGAAAGACTCATTTAGAATTGTCATGGCGCTTGTTGCTCATTATGATTTAGAGCTCCATCAGATGGATGTAAAGACTGCATTTCTTAATGGTGACTTTCATGAGGATGTATACATGGCACAACCCGAGGGTTTTGTTATGGAAGGCAAGGACCATTTGGCTTGCAAACTTAAGAAATCTATCTATGGACTTAAACAAGCGTCAAGGCAATGGTACCTTAAATTCGATGAAATAATTAAGAGATTCGGATTTAAGGAGAATGAGGTGGATAATTGCATTTACATTAAGACTAAGGGTGGAAAATTTATAATACTGGTACTCAATGTGGATGACATACTGTTAGCAAGCAGCGACATTAATATGTTGCACCAGACTAAAGATTTTTTGTCATCTAATTTTGATGTGAAGGATCTCGGTGAGGCATCTTATGTTTTAGGCATTGAAATACACCGAGATAGGTCTAAAGGAGTCCTGGGATTATCTCAGAAATCATACATTAGCAGAGTACTAGAAAGATATAATATGAGTAAGTGCTCTGCAACACCTGCTCCAATAGTTAAGGGCGATAAATTCGGATTATTTCAAAGCCCGAAAAATAAATTAGAATCAGATCAGATGAAAATGGTACCATACGCTTCAGCTGTCGGAAGCCTTATGTATGCTCAAGTCTGTACGCGTCCAGACTTAGCATTTGTTACCGGGATGCTTGGCAGATTTCAGTCCAATCCAGGTTTAGACCACTGGAAGGCTGTTAAAAAGGTCTTGCGTTATTTGCAAGGCACTAAGGATTACATGCTCACATATAAGAAGTCTGAAGAACTTGAAGTCCTAGGTTATTCAGACGCAGACTTTGCAGGTTGTAGACACTAAAAAATCTACATCAGGTTATGTCTTCACTCTCGCAAACAGAGCTATTTCATGGAAAAGCTCTAAACAAACTTTAACTGCATCGTCGACAATGCAGGCTGAATTTGTGGCATGTTATGAAGCAACGGGGCAGGCCGTATGGCTTAAGAATTTTATCCCAGGTTTAAGAGTGGTCGACAGCATTTCTAGACCAATTACACTATACTGCGATAATAAAGCTGCAGTATTCTATTCAAGTAACAACAAGTCGAGTGGTGCTGCCAAACACATCGACATTAAGTATCATGTTGTGAAAGATAGAATCCAGGATCAAACCATTAAGATTGAGCATATTAGTACTAAGTCAATGCTCGTGGATCCGCTTACCAAAGGCTTACCTCCCAACTTATTTAAAGATCATGTAGCCGACATGGGAATAACTGATTGCCTTTGATTAAGACTAAGATCCTAGAAATAGGGGCATTAGTCCTAACTAACTCCCATTAAGATTAGATAGAGTTCCTTCGAAATTTATAGTGAACTATAGGTACCGGAGTCTTGGTAGGATATGATAACTGCCATGACGCGTTGCCTTGGTGAACTATTTTATTAAGAAAGAATTCATTAACCTCAGGATCCAAGGGGAGAATGTTGGGAAAATTGATCTCTCGGTTTGGAAAACAGGGAGTAGATCACGCTAGACCGTTTCCACCCGTTGTCTACGCGCGATCACAGTGATCTAATCTGTTAATTCCCGATTAACTACGCGCCGTGATCGGTGGCGCCCAATTTATTTCCTATTGAGTCGCCCCTGATTCCCTACAGCGCAAAAATATAAAGGGGAGGCCGGCCCAAGAGTAGATGACGATCTCTCTCGGTCTCTATCTCCCCGACAACCAAACCCTAAACCCCGATCAACATTGGCGCTGGAGGGGAAACATGAGGCGGTTCAGGGACAGTGCAGGTGGCGACCGGAAGGCCGCCGCTACCCCGCAAGTGATCGCCGGCGACCCCTTCGGGATCAAGCTGGCGTTCTTACTGCTACTGCTACCACTACTACCTCTACACCGACAATAACAAGGAGAACCGCATCAATGGCTTCAACCAACGGTCAGTAACCTAAGGATTCCGCATTAGGGTGATCATGTTAGGCTTAGCACTTATGTCTTAGTAGATCGCAATATCTACAACCAGATCAGTCGAAAACGGAGATGGAGGGCATGGCCGGGCACCGGGACGCATAGAGGAATAGTGAGAGCAGCTGACGGCGTGGCAAAATAGCAAGTGCAGGCTGCAGCGAGAGAAGATGGGAGGTAGTGGGAAAAAATCGACGAGAAGAGGTTAAGTACACGCATCATTTGTCTAAGAGATAATCCATGAAATACCATTGACAAGCATCTAAGTCTCAGAAATACCATTGACAAGTATGAGTTCCAAGAAATACCATCGTACAAGCGATTTTGTCCCAAAAATACCATCGCCGTTAGGGTTCCGTCCATTCCGCGCCGTTAAATACACTGTTCATCCCATAGAACTTAACGGCGTGGAGGAATGGACGGAACCCTAACGGCGATGGCATTTTTGGACAAAATCGTTTGTACGATGGCATTTCTTAGAACTCACACTTGTTGATGGTATTTCTGGGACTTGGACGCTTGTCAATGGCATTTTATGGATTATCTCTTTGTCTAAGGTGTGCCGGCCCGTATTGGCCAAAAGTGTGCTCCGGGGATAGCTTCGTCAATTAGCATTCATGTAAAGTTTTAATGTATAATATTGTTGGCCAACATGAACAAAATGTGTGGGCTTTTCCCCATATTTGCACGCGGGCCAAAAGAGACATTTTTTCAATATATAATAATAATAATAACAATATGTACTACTTCCTCCAGAATGTAGGTATTTTTGAGGCAGACATGGATATTATGAAAGTAGGTAGAGATGATTAGAGTAGGGTTGTGATTGGTGGAGAAGAGAAAGTAGGTGAAGAGAATGGTTGTGATTGGTTGAGAGGAGAGAGTGGGTGGAGAAATAGCATCATTTTGGAATAAGTTACTGTGCTAGAAATAGCTGTATTTTGGGACGGAGGTAGTATAAGTAACTAGATATAACTAGCACTGGGCAGAAATATACAAAGTTGTTACATGAGTTCGACTTGCTTAGTGGATTAAGGATTGAAATATTCACTCAAGAAATCTGAGTTTAAGGATTGGCAATGGCAAAAGAAAAAAAAATGTTTTTCTCTTTTTTCACATTGGTGGTTAGATGTGGTTGTGGCATAATTTAGTGCCTCTAGAGAATAGCTCCACTCACTTACAGACATAAAAATTATCTCTATTAAAATATCACAAAATATAAAAATATTTTATATTTGTTTATAGAGACAATTCATCGTAAGACACCTATAAGGTTATTTTTAAAAATATCTCTGTAGTAGGCATTTAAAAAGTATCCCTATAATGTATAAGTATTATAGAAATATCTCTTTTTTTTTTAAACGCAAGAGCTATGCGTTTCATTGCACTGAGAGGAACAATATGTACAAGGTCGGTCTGTGGACGTGTTGGTTGCTCTTCCATTTTGTTCTGGAGTGCCCATGGGCTTAATAGTAGGCAACTCTGTCCCATCTAAGGATCGTCCCATCTAAGGATCGTCGCAACTCTGTCCGACTGTCCTTGTTATTTTGTATTCAAACGCTGACATTGTAGTTGCAAGAAACAAAAGTGACAGTCTTGTTGCAGCGCTTGTTTATCTCGGTCTTCGGAACTAATTACGACAAGCATGTTGTTCTTCCGGCTTTTTGGTACTACCTCCGTTCTAAAATATAGCTATTTCTAGCACAGTACTTTGTTCTAAAATGAAGCTATTTTTCTACCTACCTTCTCCTCTCAACCAATCACAACCATTCTTTTTCACCTACTTTCTCTTTTCAATCAATCACACACCTTCTTCAATCATTCTCACCTACTTTCTTAATACCCGTGCCAACCTAAAAAATGCTTATATTTTGGGAGGGAGAAAGTACTCAAGGAGGGATCCTATTAGCTTGGAAAAGTTCTGTTTGCCAGGCAGTGGTCACTCGTGTCGATTTTTTTAAGTGCCAGTACAGTTTGCTGAACTTGAGGAGAGGAATATCTCTTTAAGCCAATTTTGGGACTATTTGAAGAACTAGCCAAGAGTTATTTTGAGAGCTATTTTTTAGCATAAGAAAATAACCGTTTAATAAAATAGCTCTAAATTGTTTGGATCCAAGGGTTATTTTAAGCGCTATTTTAGCCTTGAATGCACTTTCCCATGGAGAGAGAGGGAGAGAAAAGACACTTTTTAGTAGGCCCCAGCCAAAATAGCCCCAATTAGCACCTCTTGAGGGGATAGTTTTTTTCGGATGGGTTATTTCCAAATAGCCCTGAAATAGCTCACATGTTTAAAATTTTTGGGTTATTTAGAGCTATTTGAGGGAGGGCTAAAAAAAATAACCTATGAATCCAAACAGGGCCAGGGAGTTCCTCTTATCCGTGAGAAAGCATGGATAAAAAGATGCACTCCCATCAGAACATGGTCCTAGGATGGGACGAGACATTTTATAGTATTATGAATCTAGATAGTCAGTAGTACGAATCTGGAAAGATTGACTGTCCAGATTCATAGCACTAAGTCTCATCTAATTTTAGATTATTATATTTTAGGATGGAGAAAGTAATTGAGTTCAGGGTTTGAGAATTTGCCATCCTAAAATGTGCTCTCCATGATTCAATAATCAATACATACCATTTCATTACCAGGTAACAGCCACCAGGACTCCAGGACCTCCTAAAACTGCCAGTAATAGTAAAAGAAAAAAAAGTAACTCTTAGAATAGTGTAAACCGGAGGCAGATCCTCTGACTCTGACTTATAAGCACATGCAGTTGGCAGTTGAAGTTGAGTCACGGATATTTAGGTCCCATTTTAATATGGCCCATATATAAGTAGTTTAACTACAAAGTAAGAGGATCTTTTCCGTGTAAACCTAGCTCATTACTCATCTGTACTACTAAAATCCAAGTTTTTTCTCGATTACACGGGACACGCGCACTCCACATCTAATTCATAGATCTCTGTAATTGCCAGCTTCGCTACCCATGCTGCACAAATAATTTACAGATAAGAAACTCAACAAAGATCATGTACACAAACACATCTTAACCATGAGGATCACATGTCATGTTACAAGACCACAAGCAGAAGAACAGAACAGACTACAGGTATGAAGAAGCCAAGAGAAAAGCATGAACAAACACTGCACAAGTTTGTACTGCCAAACCCCCGGAAACTCACAAAATGGATGGGAGGCACAAATACAAATAGACAGTAATGCTATGAAAATTGTGAATATCTCCTAATTCTTTCCCTATACGAAGACGACCGCTGCACATCCGGCCTGAAGCAATTGACGAGGCAGGGCATCGTCTCGTCGGCTCCGGTGCAATTCAGCTTTATCGACGACAGCTTCCCTGAGCTCGCGGTTCGAAACGATGAGCAGCCTAGATCAACTGAAGAGGAGCGCAGGCTGCGCATCTCAGACCTTCGGTGCAAAGAACCGGCATACTTGGAACTAGTGATTGCTGCAGGACCAGCATATTTGGAACCGGTGCTTGCCCCTGCTGCACATAGAGCTAACGATTTGTTCGTCCACGGAAGCTCCTTTATTGGGGTTGTACTTGTGAGTCTAACGAATGAGACAATCGTGTGGCGGCACAAAGGGCAAGGTATGGAGCCAGGAACACCACGGATAGATGTTGAGCTGCTAGCGGTGGCGCACAAGTAGAGCGCACATTTGGTGCAGAACTCATGGCCACACCCTATAAAAGAAAATAAAATCATATGAATTTAAACGGGATTAGTGGAATAGAAGTATTCTACTGTGGGGTAGTTCAAGAATACCTTCTGCAGACACTGTACATTCCGTATCCAAACATATGGCGCATGGGTCATGGCAAACAGATGAGACAGAAGTTTTTCTCCACCCACATTCCCTGTAAAAGATCCACAAACGATTGAATATATGTAAATTAATGCTCAAGGTTCTAAATCTTACTAGTAACTAGACAGTTCCTAGTGTGTGTGTGTGGTGCTACAGACCTACAGAACACCTGGTCAATGGATGTTTTGGCTTGTTCCTTGCCCTTGCGCCATTGAACTCTCATTGCTGTTACAGTACTATTGTTTTGGCTACAGTACTATTGTTGGAAGTTCGAGTTTAATCAAAAGTCCGTAAGGGAATAACTGGCAAATCAATTTCCACCAGGAGCTGGGGTAATCCTGGTGTGTTGGCTCCCAGCCTAGCCCCAGCAGAAAATGTCCCAGATGGAATTTCATTCCCTGCTAACGCGAGTGGCAGAGATGGGGAAAATTGAAGTACCATTTTTTAATCCTGTGTGAACATTAAAAATTGTAAATGGGCCTAAGAAAAAGGTTTCTGGATACTGAGATTCTTGTTCTCTTTCCCAATATTTCTCCCCTAGTGAAGTTTGGTTTCTACTGCAATGAACTGTTTTATCTCCTGACCTCCTGAAGCCTATAGGCAATTGCCTACCGTGAAACATTGGTGAATCTTACCTCTTCTGGTGGAACAGAGGTTTGTGCTCTGTTGAAAAAACTACTTGAGTACAGATGTTTGGTCAACTTTGGACATGTTTCATTTCTATTATGGAAACAGATAGGTACTGGTCTGGTAATTTCAGACAAACAAAATGATAATAGGATCTACCTATGACATCACTTGTTTTACTCACCTGGCAATTTTGACAATGCTCATCAGTGGGAGAGACAGATATGATGATGGAAGAATGCGTACTGGAACTTCTGACCGTTTGGTTAGGATACCTTCAACACTACTTTTGTGCCATGAACGAGCCACCATCAAAGGGGTCAACCTTCAAGCAAATAGCATTGCAGAAGAGTAAGCAATCCAAATAAATTATAGTGAATTTTCTATAGATAATGAAGGATAAACAGTCCACATGCAACCTGCCTTCATTGATTAGGAACAGGAAATAATTCATGTTGTATTTAAGTCCACACAGAACCATAGTTGCAGAATTTGAGTTGAAACTCAAAATAAATATGGGTTACTTAGAAATCATTGTTCAAACCATGTTATTATTTAGCATAATTAGCTTGGAAATTCCTGTCCAGAGTTCCAGCCACATACTAGCAGCATGAAGTTTTGACAAGTCGACCTCAGTTAAGAGATCAAATTTGCAGAAAGCATCTCAGAAATATGTGACACTTGAATGTGGTAATTGTAAGGTAAACATCCCCAATTAGATATGTTCGATATATGCTATGTAGAACTAATAAATCTTTTATGATGGACTTGCTATTGCATACCCGTTAGTATTTTGAGCTCTCATGTTTGCTCCGGCTGCAACAAGAAGCTGTTTAACAGCAATCAGTAAATGGACATTGCCCAATTGTTTGGAATCGCATGAAAGAGAAAATTGATGCATACTTGACAGCATACAGCACTTCCACCACAGGCCGCATAGTGGAGAGGTGTGCTTCCTGAACCTGCAAAATGGAAGAAGAGCTAATCTATGAGCATATAAAAACCTGGATACGGTTCCACTTGTGCACTATATTTTCTTGTCAGAACCAATGGTCAAGTTCCATTAGGAGTTGAATTGAGTTAAAAACATTTAGCTTCATACCTATGAGATCAATAGTTGAACCATCATTGATAGTGACCTCTGAAACAGAGGCTCCAAGGTCTAACAGCAATTGCACGCACTCAGCATGCCCATGAAGGGCTGCCAAGTGAAGCGGTGTGACGCCCCCATCAGACTTGTTGTTTATTAGCCTCCGGAGAGCTCTGGAAATCAGAATGTAAAGGGGTGCAATTATTAGTCATCAGTAGATGCCAACATAGACTAACGTCAGAATTTAACATACACCGCATCAAAAGCTTCCTTATTTGTTTCATCTGTGCATTTTGCGTGCATTACACTCCAAAATTCTGGCAAGCTTGGTACGTAATCAGCCACAAGGAGCCGAAGGCACCGAGTATGACCTTTTAGGGCGGCAAAATGAATAGCTGTCGCGCCACTAAAACAATCTTTTTTGTGAATCTAGAAAATGAAAGATATAGATAACTTGCATCAGTCGATATTGCAGTGTGATTTGACACAAGAACAAGTTAGCTAAAGGTAACTTACATTAGCTTTAAAAAGAACTAGGATCTGTACAACTTTCCAATGACCATATAGACAAGCTTGCATTAGAGCAGTCTGCGTACGGCAGTTTATTGTTCATTAGCACAAAACCATAGAAACATTTTATTTAGCACAACAGAAATGAAAACAAATTAAAGAGTTGATATTCAATTATCCATTGAAGAGTACTCCATGTGTTATATCAAAGCTAAGGTAAACAACATAATCCAAACAAAAGAAAAGTAGGTCTGTCTAGCTTGCTGCCCCTTTCTAACAAAGGCTACTGCTTCTCATCCCATAGAACGTTAGGAGCCTCATATGCACGTGGAATGCACATGTTTGTATAATATGCAAAAAAAAACATTTCAATAGTATTTGCATATAAACCAAATCTAGAAGAATAGATTGTATTTCTTAGTCCCTAGTGGAAAATATTCTTTACACTTGTTGCTACGTTGATGAAATATTATAAACCAAGGCAAGATATTAATGGTCATGAATAATGGCCATGAACAAGGTGAGAAAGAAAATAACTTTACCTGTCCTCTGCAGTTCCTGAGGTTGATATCAACACCAGACTCAATTAGGAGAGAAACAATCTAATGGAGTAATGAAATAATTAATTGTTACTTGACTGAACAAATTAACAAAGATATCTCAAAAGAACCGCATATAGATAAGGAAACTATTATATGGAGAAAATCAATTTAGAACACCTCATGGTGGCCCTTTGCTGCTGAGTAATGAAGGGGTGAGTTCCGGATCCCAAACGTTGAATACCGCGCAAGTCGGGGGTTAAGCTCCAACAGGGCCATAGCCTCCTGGATGTCTCCATCCCTTGCAGCAGAGACAAGCCGCTCACCAGTAGCTGAGCAACCGAATGAGTCGCCCACCATACCTAAGAGCCCCATGATGCGTCTACCTATCAAAGCACAAAAAATTAGTATTACCTTGCAAAGATTCGGCGAAATCTTGATTTAACTCTTTCAACACACCCTGGACCTACAAAACAATCAAAGGATTCCTATGCCAAGGCTAGCTAGCAAGGCAACGAGAATGGAGAGCCTGTAGTAGGAACTACAATATTGCCTTCAAATTGATCTGGAGGGGTATTTATTCACTTGGACGCTCAACAAGAAACCGATTCAAGAAACGCGGAAATTAAGCCACATGTCCACTTCACAAAGCACCAAAGTCCTGCGTAGGCACGGACAAAACGGCGTCACCGATGACGAGGCATTTCTGCAAGAAGTTAGCCAAAGATCCACACTAAAGGAGTAAAGAGGCCAGTAAATCAGCAACTAGATCGCTAGACCCCTTGTCTACCAGAAGCTAATGGGCATAAATAGCAACAAAGTTAGCCCCTTTCTTAGGAAATGCCCTGAACTGAAACAATAAAGAGAGAATTGAACAGATGTAGCATCATCCTTCAAGAAAGTAACTCCAAAAGGGCAGTACTCTGACCGGCTTGGCTACTCCACATGGATCAAAGAGTACAAGCATCACCTTTCTTTAGCCAAATTCCCCAAATCTAGTCGGAAGAAGGGGAATATAACTAAACGAGGCATCTTCCTGCAACACAGCATCACCCAATTGAAACCAAGAAATGGTAAGCGACGATGTCCTCCATGAAGCTACCTGCCTAGTACCTCTCTCTTGGATTACTACAATTATTAGTTTCTTACTAATTACCTCCCTCTTGGATTACTACAACTATTAATTTCTTACTAATGCGTGATGTGGGATGGAAGAAAAAAAATGCAGTAATGGTAGAAACAGCAGCAGGGAGACAGGTGAGGTCACTGTCTCTCCCGTCCCTTTCATGGCAAAGGCCCCATTTTTTCTTCCTCCATGGAGGAACAGCACAACTACCAGCGCCAGCATTGAGCTCCAGAATTCGACGTGTAATGGTGAGAGAGAGCAAGAACACAAAGAGGGACACAAGCGTCAGTAGTAATTAAGTTCAGTACAAACTGAAACTCCTCCTCTTGTGATGTCTGAAAAAGGAAACCATTTCAGAGCTACTAATAATAATAAAAGAATCCACCAACCCCGGATCGCAATCTTGGCTCATCCGCAAAACGAAATCACACGAACACATTGCTACTCGCCTTGAAATTAAAAAAAAACACACAGATCTTTAGGTGGCTAAGCTAAAAGAAACGGGTTTGCGCGGGTAATCAGGATCAGGAAGACCAAATTAAATTAAAGAAAAAACGAGCAACCCACCTCCCCTCCTTCCCGGAGACAGGGATCTTCAGGCGGCCGGCGCCGGAGATGCTCCTCCTCCCCGCCGCCGCCGCCAACTCATCAAAGAGAGGAGAACCACCGCCGCCACCGCCGCCGCCACCGTAGCTCGCCTCCTGCTCCCAGATGGCAGGTCAAAGAAGCCACCACCACCACCACCACCGAGTCCGAGAGAGATCAGAGAAAACGATGGCGCAAGAATGGCTCGGCCCCACAGCTCGAGCAGCCCCTGTCCCTGTCAGGGGACGGCGCCGCGCTGCGGGAAGAACGAGGGAGGCGTGGAGGAGAGCACGAGGTGGCAGGAGCAGCAGCAGCTGGAGGAGGAGGTGGTGGTGGTGGTGGATGGAGGCAGGAGGAAGAGGAGGGGGAATATACACATGGAAAAATTTGGCAATTTGCGCCGTGTTTTTTTCTACTCCTCCATCTTGTTCAGTTAGTTTCTGTAGCTGAAGCCGCTGGGGAAGGGAGGAGAGGTGGAGAGGAGGAGCAGAAAGGCGTGGAATTTGGGAGGTTGTTTGTGACGTTTGCTCTTCGGTTGTATCAGAAATTCAGGATTCAGAAGCTACCTACTGGCAGTTTCTTCTCCTTTTTGTTTTCTACTACTGCATTTGATTTTGAAAGTATAAGTGTTTTCAAGAGTTTTAGCAGAATTAAGGTTAAGGTAAGAATTGGTTGAAACGAAGAGTAAGATGGAGGAATTAAATGAGAGGTGGTACCTGATTGTTTGAGATGAGAAAGTAGATGAAAAAAATATATTATATTGTGGTTGTATAAATTTTGAATCTTACTTTTTTTATATTGGGAATATGTTAGTTTCGGTACGAGATACAATTACAAGTTTTAAAAAAATAGCAATTGGTTTTTCAGAGAGAAATGGGGGTAAATTTGTGTCGAAGTAAAAAAATTTTAAAACACGCAGGAGATCTAAGTGTTATTTCTTTAAGATAAGAGAAAGGGAAAAAAGTGAAGAGTGTTAGAGATAAATTTTAATACCCACCCACCCACCCGGGAAATACAACATCAACACAACACACACACAAAAAAAACCTATTGCTTTAGCACTACTGTACTAGTCAAAAGCTCTTGAAGTTTGGAAACTCCTGCTAAGCACCAAAGTTAGCACCAAAGAGCATCCTCACTAGCAATGGCTTGAAGGACATCACGCATGCTCAGTGTAGCGTCATTAAAAACAAAATTATTTCTATGCTTCCAAATCTCCCAAATTACCAAGATAAAAATTGAATCAAGTCATTTCTTCTCATTAGTAGGTAACCATCTCACCCGTCCTTAACCATGCCCAAGTAAATCTTTATCTAAAATTTTAATAAAATATGTTTTCCTTCCAAATTGCTAGTTTATCATGGTAAATTTGATCAAGAATTTTTCTTTGTTTTTAAAGGCAGTGTATTCTGCACATGAAGCATGCACCCATTTTGTAATACTTTTGTAATTAAAGTTTTAGTCTCATAGCCCACTGGTTGTAATATAATGGCCTCTTGCTTCTACTTTTATTTGGTTTTTCTTGTGGACTTCCTTATATAATTACATTACACTATCAACAACTAATGCGTCCTTACCCCTTTTTTTTTTCTCTTGTGACACCCGCAAGTTTATTATGTGCACCTTATAATAAGTTTCCTATCATACGATATTTTGTTTAATATACATTATTTGAGGGGAAAAACGTGAACATATGTCAAAGGTATTGTTTGGTGTTAACCATACAAGAATGTTCTCCTAATAGTGGCATATTTTAACAACACTCTGATGAACCTATTTCTTACATATTGCAAATAGCTTTCATAGGTTTCACCGTTTCAATAATATATATTAAAAAAGGTTTTCACCGTGATCAACTCTAGAACAGCTCTATATATGCATTGATAAATGATAAGCACAAGTTGACTTCCTATTTCATACTATGCGGCTGATGTATGAAAACGTGTTAAACACTAAGCAATGTCTTGTTCAATGGCATCGACATATACATCATGTTAGATTTAGCTAAGATTTCAACTCAAATAGTATATCAAAGCTACCTCAACCTAATTCAGACGGATTCTATGTGCTACACTGAACCATATTTGTGTTATCATGTTGATAAATTAGAAAATTAATTACCCTTTAAAATCATATCCATGTTTTTAAGCAATATTTGTTTTCTTGGATGAATATTTTGTGTTTGTTAACACGAAATGAATACCATTTTGTTAATTGGTTAAGATGTACAACGCAACAACACGACATATATAAAAACTCTTTTGAATTTACATGAAAGCGACTGAGCAAGAGAAAGATCGAAGCAAACCAGTATTCTACCATCTCATGGACCGGATTTATGACACCAAGAGAAAATGACTACTTATTAAGTTTAGCAAGCAAAAGATCTTTTCTACCGCTGCATGCATTTTGAACTATAAATAATTCACAAAACAATAACATAGTTGTCATACAATTCATGTTCTCTGATGTCTGAACATTTACAGTCTCCAATTCACTCATTTGGCTGTTACTTTATATAATTGTATATAGCAATGAAATTTAGAAATATTGATGATTCAAAAATAATTTTCATGACAAATTATGTTCTGGTGTATTTCCATATAAGAAATATATGTTGTCACTTAGATAAAATATTAGTTTTCAGAGTGTCAAACTTTAACTATAGACTCCTCTCTTTCAAAATATAAGGAATATTATGTTTTGTTAGGATAAGACTCACTAATAATCACTCTATTAAGATATCATTTATTTGATATAAAAGAATAATCATAACTAAGTACTTCTCAATATGAATATAATAAATTTAAGTTTGCATCATAAAAATTATATTAATTGTTAGTTAAAACTTCATCCTAATGAAACAAAATACGTCTTATATTTTGAAAAGCAGAGATAGTATATTACAGGGCGATAATATTCTAAATTGGAGTAAATATTCTTTGGAATTGTCATTTCACAGTGTAAGTTTATCGAGAAAATGGAACATAGTTCCTGTAGTTTTTAGTTTTGTTTTCTAACACTTTAATGACATAAAAAAAAACCTGTTAACTTGCACATACGCAGCGGTAGAATGTGTGTTATGTGATAGTGATACGTGCAATCCAATGTCATTAACTAGCTCTTATACTTGGTGCTCATTGTTTGGTTGTTGGGTATAATCTTTTTTTTTTTGAGGACTGCTGTGTTTGATGGGTTAAGACTTAATATTGTGTGAAACAAACTGATGGAAAGCATAATGCTAATAAGCAAATGACCTTTTCTTCATGGCAAACTAATTCTTTTTTCCCAAGTGGCAAACTCCATGAATTGACCTCTTATTGAGTTCAACAAGCAAATGAGAAATGGCCTTATCTATCTGTCACATCCCAATTTTCAATTGCAAACATCATTTTCAATTATACATATATTACTCACCTCTATGTCTGCCCAGTGCTTCATTACCTAGAAAAAAGAAAAGAAAATGTCGGCGAGTGCTTGTACGGGTAGCAACTATTATGCAAGGGGACATGGAGAGCTGTTCCTCTGTGTTTTTTTCCTGACCAAAATATATTCTTTTTCCACCACAAGACACTGCATGCATGCATGGATGGACACTTTTCATTGTGTGATGCAGAAACAAATAATTGCAGCCAAGAAGGAGGAGGAGAAGAAAAGCCTAGCAGATGGTGATCTAACCCCACAAGAGCAAGGCATGTCTGCTAGCTTGCCCCTGCATCTGCATGATGGAGAAAGGCCTTTGCCATTGCCATGCCACTGATCAGGCTCCATTCCTCCCCTGTGGCATGCAGATTTGTCATTAACTTTAATTGTTGTTGGGGGTCTTTAAGTGCTAGATGAGATCTACTTGGAGATCAATAACAAGGGATCCATAGTTTTAGATTAACCTTTATTGGAACATGAGAATTTTGCAGTAAATTCTGCAGGTATTTTCATTGGAACTGGTTGGTTTCTGTAACAGACCTGTACAAGTTCAAAGTGAGCAACTGAACAGGACCCCAATTTTTTTGGACCAAAAATTTATGTTTCAATGCAAGTGAATATGTTTTAATATTTTTGAGGATATGTTTATTCCATTTTAAAAGTTTCCTTCTTCCACAGGAACAACAGGATACTATGCGCAATGGTGCTACACGCTTGAAATTGGTAGCCAAGGAACTTTTACTCTAGTTTGGATGGCATAGTACCTACAGAATTTCGTGATAGAATCTACGTGATTTTAAAAAACATGATTTTAGTAGATCATATTATCGGCAGAAGTTGGGGGTTTGTCCCATCTCGTCTTTTTTAAGCTCTTTTCTATTCACTTCTGGACTTTTTGGCTGTGTGCCTACGGGCAGAGGCCGGAGATGTAACCCATTTCTATTATTAAAAAAAAAATTCCTTCTTCCCGATTCACTCAATGACTAGAACATATGCATGTTTTTCTTTTCTTGGCTCTAATAAGTTTTCAATGATAATCATAGCCACCACAAATACCTGGAGCTAATGATAACGATGTGAAAGTGCGTTATAGGCACTAATGATTCCACTTTTATACTTCCTAAAGAAAATGGGATCGTTGCATATCACACGCAACTGCCAAAGGAAATTTAACTTTTTGTTTAATGGTTTTTCTTTAAAAAGGCCTCATTTTAAGTTTTGCATCGGGACCTTAAAATCTTGGATATGATGTATTGACCGCTACGGATCATTTGATTAGAATGAAATTTGAAACGGGTATACTTGACGATGATGATATGAATCACATGAAAAATAAACGTATTCGTTTGGTTGCAGATATGCCACACCATCAATTTGGACGGGCTCTTGATCGTTTACAACATGCGGTTCAAATAACTATCCATGGAGTATTCATACATCAATCAAAACTGATTCCACACTTTGGTAACTCCAACTTCAACCTTGATTTTATTAATAATACTTACGAGACCTTCTTTGGT